CAAGTAATGTTCTCTACCCATTTTGGGTTTTATCTTTAAAAATGAGTGAAGACAAATCACAGCACTCCCATGCTGTTTATCAAAGCTCCCACTAGGGTTTCTCAATACGTAGGCTTGTTCCTACCAATAACAAATAAGGAGACACTGAGGAGAGAGGCCTCCTTCGTCATATACTTTTTAAGTGCCTCATGGAGCCAAGCCCTGTCCGAGGCTCTGGAATGCACTAAAGAATAAAGCTCACATTCTGGGTAATCTGAGGAAAGTGTAGAAATTTAACAACATAACCAGACACATGCATATTAAGAAGAGCATTATAAGGAAAATAAAAAACATGTTGTGATAAAAAATGACAGGATGAGGGTGGGGGACAGGATGCTGGAAGAGGTCAGGGTGCAATAATGAAACCTGGGCAAGAGACCCAGATCTAGACGTCATCACATCCCCCTCCCATCCCCCCCATCCCTGCACTAAGCCAAGCTCGGTTCTGGCTGAGATGGCCTGGGGACAGTCTAAAGAGTGAGCACAAGGAAGATCTCAGGACCAAACCTTGAGACACTTCAAAAAGTGCTGGAGAAGACTGGGGAAGAGCATGAGGGGAAGAAACAATAGCTGCTGACAGGTCAGGTGAGAGGAACACAGCAAAGCAAACACTGAACTGGTGAGATGGAGGACACTGGTGACCTTGAGGACAGCCAACTCAATGCAACAGTGAGACGGGTGGGGGGTAGAGAAAATGAGAGACAAAGAAGGGGCCACAATTCTCCTAATTCCACAGCGATAAATTTTTAAAAGCTCCATTTTCATTTAAACCAAGTATAGCTATTCTAATTGTCCCAGGATTTGAATATCACATTTTATAGTCACAATACCCCCCTAAAGTGGTCAGACCTAATAACAGCTCTATTTTTCAAATGAGAAAACTGAGGCACAAAGGGACTAAATAACCTAAGAGCTTATTTTGGACAGGAGAAGCAGTGTTTTGATTTTTTTAACTCTCCTGAGATAATGCGTTCATCAGTCATCTTATCCTGGAGAATCCCCGTTAAACCTGAGGAGCTATGCTGCGCTCAGGCTAACTGTTCATTAAGACCCGCATCTTCCTAACCTCCACGCGGCCGCGCACGCACTGCAGGAAGCGGCGGAGGCCCCAAAGCACGGGGAGTCTGGGCCTAATGCGCACACGCTGGCCTTCCTCCTGCCCTCTCCGCGCTTGCACACAGCATCCCCGCCCGGCCCGGGCGCCAGGCAGGGATACACCGAACCACCTGCACCCGAACAGCTGGGGCCAGCTGAGGTGGGTTGATGATACCAAAGAAAACTCTCATTTTTTCATTCATTTTCCCCCTTGTGTGCTGTTAGGTTGAGTAACATTTTTAATTGCATGATAAATGGAAAATGTTGGCAGGAACTTCACTTGTGTAAAATTGGAGCTTTTTAACTGCTACTTTGATGGTCTTTGCTGGTGGATTCTTTACCGCGTTGCCGGCAACAAGCCAGCGCTGGCCCGATGAACGGAACCACTAGGCGGCGAAGCCCCGCGGCTCCTGGCGCCCAGAGGAGGCGAAAGCCACCTGCCTGGCTCTCAGCATCTGACTGAGCCAGTCAGTGAGGCCTTTTCAAGGGTAAGCAGACGTGCAGATCGCACTGTGGTCCTTGAGCCAGTCAGATTAGCAGAATGACTGAAAGGATGGCCGTTTTTAATGAAAAACAGGTCTGCTTCTTCCCCCTTTTCTCTGCTGAAATGTTGAAAGCATTTATCAGAGAAACTTTTGTTCCTGAGTGAAACACCATCAAACTTCACAAAAATTGCTCAGCTGATCTATTCTCTCACCAAGCAGGTGGTGAGGCAGCTCACACAATTATTTTTTAATGATTATTTCAAGCATGAGATATTTGCTAACTACTTTCTCCCTGTATAACCAGAGATAAATCCTCCTAGGCCACTGGGCACTGGAAAGTGCAATAGGCTATTGCCTGGAAGTCCCATATTTCAATTAAGTTTTGAAGGATGGGAAAGTTCCTAGTTAGATTATAGTGATTCTTCAATTAACCATCCTCACAGGATGAAATTCCTCTGTAACTTAGTTGGATTCTAAAATGTTTTTCAATTACACACAGCAGTGTTGTCCTAGGCCAGGCTCAAGGGCAACATTTCTATTTAATAAAGCCGTGTATAGCTGCAGAGAACAAAATATATCCACACACGGCTTCTACGCCTTCAACTGAAAACTGATGGAGCCTATGAAGCTGAAAACAGCTGTTCGCAGCCCATCTCCTTTGGGCACTTCCTACCTCTCAACAGCAAGCTCTCCATCCTACTTCAGACCTCAGCTCCCTCGCTCTTGCTGTCACTGAGTTAGCCAGTATCTACTGAACATTTACTGTACCAGGCACTGTGCTAAGAACAGGAAATAAAATACTATTTCCCCCATGGAGCTTATAGTTTTGTTGCTAACAGCAACAAGTGAGCGCTAATCCACAATACAGTGTGGAAAGTGCTCAGAAAGGTAACATTAAAGATGTGAGCACACACCAGGGGCCACAACCTGAGAGAGAGTGAGAGTGAGTGTGAGTGAGTGTGTGTGTGTGTGTTAGGTTGGGGAGAGGAAGAATCTTCAGTATAAGTGACAATTAAATTTAAGTTGGAAAGCTGAGAATTTAGCCAAAGAGACAAACAGAATGCATATGAAAACTCTGAGAGACAGTACCAGTAACTGCACTAATATTTGAGGAGAAAGAGGAAGGCAGAACATTTACTATACAATGACACTTTTCTCAACATGAGTCACAGCTTAACTTACCTAACTTTCTCAACAACCTCATGGGATAAGTGCTATTACTTCTATCCCCATTCAGAGATAAGAACCCAGAGGCAGAGGTTACGGAGCTAGTAAATGTGAAGCTAAATGTAGCATGTAGCAATCTGGGTCCAGAACCCTCTAGTCTTTGTTGCTTCACTAACCTGTCTCTCAAGAGATCAGGGACCATGGTGGGGGTGGGGGGTCACAACTGAAAATTATTACACACAGTTAGAGCCCAGAGTGCATACCATTCTTCCTCACTACCTAACAACAAAGAATCTAGTATCTGTCATTTATCCTGTTGACTAATTGTGCCTGAATCTGAGTGACAGGTGGACTGCTGTCCCCTTAACTGCACGGTCTAAGTGTCAAACGCAGGGTTCCGGTGGAGCAGGATGGTGACAGCAGGGAAGGCGTGCATGTACAGGGATGGGGCTATACAGGAATTCTCTGCATTTTCCACTCAGTTTGGCTGTGAATCTAAAACTGCTCTAAAAAATTAAGTTTACTAATCATTAAAAAAAATAAAATTATCAGGATTCAAGCTAAACACAAAAAAGAAAGATTTTGTTTGTCCCCATTACAGGAATTGTATCTATTGGAAGCCGAGGGCGGAAACACGTGATGATAAACTTGAGGTCTTCCTAAGCCAGCTCCGAAACTGAAGAGGACACTGGCGTATGGAAGGCACCCCAAGCCGCACGGAATGGTACCCCTCCCTCCCAAGGCCAGCTAAGCACGGTCAGTCCTACAAGGATGTGTGCTCTGCTACTCTCAGCTCCTTCCAAGCTTTGCGGTCCACCCTAGAGCCCTGGGATGGCTCCATCATCCAATGCCTGGCTCTCTCTCCTCCCTCGCTCTGTCTCACCAGGCATAGATCAGGCCATCATGTGCTTCAACTCTCTCTACTCCTGTAGTTCAAGACTCCAGGACGCACGCTTCATGCTTTCCAGAACATAAAGCAACATTTTATTAAATAAAACGTTGGTAGGTTAATCTCCTTTTCCTTATGTCCTCAAACATATTTCTAGGCTTTTAGTTCTGATAACTATATATATGAGCTCTGGAATTATTACTGTGATATAACTATGAGAGAGCATAGCAGGATCTTTAGAAAAATGTATAGGTATTTAGATTAATAATGAAGGTGAATGTAGGAATGACGAGGCAGTAGTCTTTAAATCCAGAAAGGCTGACTGTTTACGTCATAATATTTTGATGCAGAGCTATGGTAAGCCTTAAAAACTGAATATTTAATTGTCTAGACATGTCACCTCAGAATATCCCAAGTGCTGCAGTGTATCAAAACTGAAAGTGTTTTCACCCATCCCTCGGGGGAAAGCCCACAGTTCTAAAATAACTTAAGTAATCATCCCTTCCCTCAACTCCTCTAGCAATATTATGTATACCATCTATTCAGCTGGTAGCATTTGCTTTCTGGTGTTGTTACTGACATGTGTGCCTTAGTTTCAGAACTGGATCTTAAGCGGTTATCTTGTGTTTCCCTGCATTTTCCTCCATCCCTTCCAATGCTGAGGACATCCTGCACTTAGCAGGCCCCCAAAGGTCTTTCTTAATTTTTTACATTTACCATGATCAGGTCCCTTTTGTCAAAGAAGGAAATGCTACTGGTCTTTTTACTTAATTAAATTTACTCATAATTTATTTTCTTAACTATTTTTTTATCAGGTCACCACTGTTTAGTAGACACCTGTGGAATCAAATATCCTGTGTATCAAAGTTATGTTGATTAGAAGGTACTGCTTAGAAGCATCCTTCCTCCATTTAAATAATGACAGAGGCCGCACTCACCTTTTTCCAAATCTCAGATACTGCTGACATATTCCAGGAGCTACTGAAAACAATAAGTAACAGTGGCAGCCACGGAAGACTGGCATTCCCCTAGACGGTGACTGGACCCACATCTGCCATCGTTAAGCAGAGCAGAGACCAACCTCATCTCTTTTTGCCTTGAGTTCCCCCTTGAATGGTAGCAGATCTATAAGTCCTGTGGCTACAGTAATAGTTTTAGCTGCTTATCAACAGATGCTAGGAAATGAAAGAAAAAAAGGATCATCGAGTCTTTAAATCTTTGCTATCCTGAAAACATCCTGTGAGTTCAGACCTCAAATTCACATGCTGTATACTTCAGATCTTCCCCTAGAAAACTAATTTTTCCAGAGAAGTTCGATCACCCACCTTGGAGTTCTCCACTCCGACTGTAGAGTTCCCTTCTCTGCTCCCTCAGGTAGGCACTCATGCTGATGGCGTGGGAAGACGATTCGAACCTGCAATGAAACGCAGGAGAAACAAGTGGTCAGGCAGCAACCAAACAGGCGGCGTGCAGCTGCGTACTGAAAGTATTCTCCTCTCGTCTGTGCGATGTCCCCTAATGGTCCACAACTGGGACACTCTGGCTGTTCCACGATGGAGCAGGGCAGCTGGCAAAGACTTGAATTATGAGCAGGGTTCCTGGCTAACGGGCTCCACACAGTATTTGGATCTTCTGCTCCTTTTCCATGTTAGCTGGTACAACTCTGATCTGTTGCAACTTTCTTTTACCACCAGGATCCCTACACGCACAGCAACAAGAGTATCTTATGAAGTCATTCTAACTTTGCCTGTCCAGCTCAGAAGCCACCTGTGACTGCCAGCTGTCACCACAGAAGTCCTGGCTGCTTAGACATGGTGCCATGCTAAGTCCCCAGTTAGAGGACTAGTAGAAAGGGCACACTAGGATGCTGTTGATTAACTACACCAAAGGAGCAAGGCAGCTACATCTCTCCTTAAATGCTCATGAACAATACAGCTTCTAAAGAGCTGCCAGGTTCTAACCTGCCACCTGCCACCTGAAATACTCTTGAATATACCAAGCTACAGAATGTGTGTCTGTCCACACCTCCCCGGGAACTATTTCAGAAATCAGAAACAAGGGGGAAGGCTCAAGATATAGAACAGGCCTCTAAAATCTAAAATAACAAATATAAAAAAGAAAAATCAAATCACAATCTTAAGAGAAACCTGTAGGTAAGGAAGAAACAGTTAAAATTATCGAACAGGAAATCCTCTACTAAGCAGTTCCATTTCCAACCTGGTCTCTTCAAAGTCAGAACAACAGGATGGCAGGAGAAATCCTTCGAAGAACTGCTGCCACTATGGGGCAAACAGCCACATAATGGAAGAGCCACGGTGATAACAGGACTGGTTTCTGGCGACAAGGAGGGAGCGCCCTCACTTCCTAATTCTGCCTCCTTTGTCCACCCTCTGACAAGGAAGATGAGCACTAAGATGAACGCCAGTCTGAGGGGAGCACTTGCAGAGCTTGATTCTCCCTCTGCACCCTGCCAAGAACTAAGAGAACACTCACAGCCAGAAGGCAGGCCCAGCGTGCAGCCAGTGCCGCCTGCCAGTCAGGTACAAAAAGGAAGCCACTGACCTCCAGAAAGCACGCTGGCAGCTATTGATCAGAAATGACAAGGGAAAGGAATAAACTCTTGAGCAAAGAATGGAGAGGCACACATTATACAGTAGGAGAGAACTTAAACACACCTAATTAACCCTGGCTAGGGGCAATTAAGAGAGCAATGAAGTCCTTCGCGGATGTGATAAAAACAGGTTACAGCTCACCAAAATCTCCTTCCTTTATGACCTGATGTATTTTTGCTCCTTGGGAATCCTTTTCTCCTTGGAACAAGTAACGGCTTGAATACCATTTTATGGTAAAAGCAGCTCTAGAGATGATTCAGTTTCGCCTCCTTATTTCACAGCCCGAGACACGAGGCCCTGGAGCCAGGAGACCTGCTCCGGAGTACAGGGCCCATCAATGGCAGAACCAAGACTGAAAAGGGCAGATCTATGATAATGGCCTAATTCTGTGCGGGTGAGGAGTTTTTATCTCTATGAGATAATAATAAATGTGTAACAATTATTCAAGGTCATTTATTCATTTCCAACAATTAATATGTTTTCCAATACCACAATTTCAGGACTGATAAATGTCTGAAAATGGCTTGTGGTCTCAGGTTGAAACCTAAAAACCCTGAGACCCGATTTCAGCAATATGCCTACACTTAGACGGTGGGTTGAACTGAGGCAGGAGAAATAGAGGGGAGCCTACCAGGCAGCACCTGAGGCAGCCTCAGTGTCTCAATCCACCTTTTCCTCCCACAATCTCTCTTGCTTGCTGGAGCAACTTCCAGTTCTATCGGGTGATCTGCTCCCTTGCCTCCTCCCTACTCAGCAGATTTCTCACCCTGTGCTCAGGAAAAGTGGCTCCCTCTCTGGCTCAAGACCCATCATCAGAGATGAACCTACCTAGTTTAAAACAATCACCTGCTTGCCCTTGCCAGGGACTGATTTAGGAATGGACTGAAGACCCAATCCTAGTCTCCTGAGGAAAACCTGCAGAGGGCTCTGTCACTGGAAGGAAAAATTAATAAATGTATAAGTAATAATTTAAAATAATTTTAAAAGCATCTGAAATGGCAGAGACACTTGGGAAGGCAGTTTGGCAGTGTCTACAAAGTTAAACGTGGTCTACCATGTGATCCAGTAACCATGCTCCTGGGTATTCACCCAAATGAGCTGAAAACTTACATTTACACAAAAATCTGCACGAGTGCTTACAGCAGCTTGAGGGATGCAAACAAGACCCTGTCAATAGCTGAGTGGAAAATCTGTGGTACATCCACACAGTGGAATATTATTCAGTGATACAAACGATGATCTATCGAGCCTCACAAAGACAAGAAAGAACTTCAAATGCTAAGTGGAAAACCCAGTCTGAAAGGCCACGTGCTGTACGACTATACCTATGGAAGACATTCTGGAGAAGGCAAACCAGAGGAGCAGTAATAAGGTCACTCACTGTCGGGGGCTCAGGGAGCAGGGAAGGGGAGGAACAAACCAGTGGAAAATGGGGGTTAGGGCAGGGGACTGTTTTGCATGAGGCTGTAACGGCGGGTTTGACACGCTACATTTCTCAAATCCGTCAGGCTAGAAAACAAAGTGTGGAACCCTAATGGAAACAACTGACTTCAGCTAATGATGACGAACAAATATTGGTTCATCTGTTGTAACAAATGTACCACATTCATGCAAGATAGTAATAAAGGAAGCTGTAAGACAGGGGAACATAAAGCATGCTCCATTTTTCTAAAAACCTAAAACTGCTATAAAAAATAAAGACTACTAGTTAAAAGACTTATAGGAAGAATCACAGCCTATTTCCTTGGCATTGCCATTTTCACTGGAGTGGAAATGAAAGCAGAAGTGGAAAGGGCTGGGTCCTTGGTGATCCTGGGGTGGCGACGTGCGGAATCCTCTACATTCATCCTTACTGTGGGAGACAGTAACTGCCCTGTGCTTTAATCTACTCATGGCTCATCTGAGGTTCTATGGTACTTACAGATGAAAGCATTTTTACTGATACTGCATCTAACCTCTGAATGAAACTGTTAGAAAAAGAAAGAAATGTATTCAATAAACAGAATGGATTTTATTCCACTGTGAACACAGTAAATCTTCTCTTTTCTAGACACAAGATAAATGAACTGTTGAAACCTTCCTTAATGATTAAGAGCTCGATGAATTCAGGATAAAAAAAAAATTTTAAGCTCTGGCTAGTGTGGCTCAGTAGGTTGGAGCATCATCCTGTGCACCAAAAGATTGTGGGTTCAATTCCCAGTCAGGGCACATGCCGAGGTTGTGGGTTTGATCCCTGGGGAGGTGCCTATGAGAGGCAACCAATGGATGTTTCTCTCTCACACTGATCTTTCTCTCTCCCTCTTCCTTCCTCTCTCTCTAAAAATCAACAAAAAACATATCCTCTGGTTAGGATTTAAAAACAAAGCAAACAAAAAACAACAACAAAAGAACCTCCACCCCCAAAAAAACAAATCTCAAAAGTGAATCAGTAAAAGGATACTGGAACCTCAACTATTCAAAAAACTGTGATAATACTTCTGTAGCCACTTTACATGCTTAGATTTACAGATACAACTTCTTAAACATCTATTAACTCTTCAAAAGCACACACAGGTCTGCCAAGATTTAAATGCTTCTTCTAAGCTTGCTAGCTGTGTGAATTTACGTAAGTTACCTACCCTCTCCTGTGCCTCAGCTGTTGTTTTTTAACATGTAAAAGAGGGTTAAAAATAGACCCCACACCCATGAGTATAACCCATGAAAACGGCTAATGCCTTGGCTAGCACTCCAGAGGGACTCAGTGAGCATCAGCCAGTACTCCAGCTGCTGAAATTTGATGTAACCGGAATTATACTTAATTGAGATTGTTTGGAGGAACTTATCTACCACAGTGCCTAGTGATTGTAAGTACTCAATCAACGGTGGCTGTTACTGTCGTTATTATTAGTGTTAATAATACTATAACTGTGAGCTGTTACTAAGTGACATATAGTGGGGTTAGCTAAGACGGTAATTAGGAAAAAATGAGAGATTGTTCCTTTATGAAATCAAACAAAACCCAATACTACTTAGAGAGATTCATATAACTTTATTAACACAGGTTGTTTCTTGGCACTTGAGATTTTTCAAAGGCTGAAATATTACATTTTATTTCATATAAATTTCTCAGAAACAACTGGCGAGTTTAATTTCCCTTCATTATATATAAAACTCCCCAGAAACAAATCCCTGCAGTTTTTAAAAAGTTCTAGATAGATAGTCATATTCCAATATGACCACTTCCCCTTACAGAAAATAAAAGTACACAAAATTGAATATATATTCACCTCCTATAACTTATTTCAAATCAACATTAACTGGGTGACGTAATGCCCATCAATTAAATAGAAAGTCCTACCTGGATCTAATACATCCTGACACCTGCTATATTCCCAACAGGGAGATACTCACTTGAAAAGAGAATTTTTTGGCCTTTGAGGTTTCTTCTTGGCAAAAAAGGCTGCGAACTCCCGTCCAGTGCTGGCGTAACTCAGTTGAGCTGACGGTTCAGAGGCCGTACGAGTATTCTTCATGTCCAAGTACTCAGTCAACAGCATCTGTACAAGCAGATAAGCAATTTCATGCACACATTTAGATGTCTATTAGGAAGAGCCATTTTAAAGCACAAAGCTAATTCTAAACCCTCCTCCTTGACATATAGTCGCACAGTGACCTAGCTTTGGTATTCCTAGTGGAGATGTGAGGAAGAGTCATTCTACCCTGAAAGCCATCAATTGTCTCTCTACTCTGAAAACTATAGCAAAGGTGTGGTGAGCATTAGAATATGGGAGTAAAGGGAACATTTTTTTATAAGACTGTTTGAGCCAAACTGACACACAGGCTGGGGAGCAAGATGTCAAAAGCTCTGGCCATTTTCACGAAGGGTCTACCATGTGTCAGGTACTGTGTAGAGTTCAGCAATATTTCCCTTTAGTTATAATTTAATCATATACTCTTCCAAATTATAGCAGCATCAGCAACAATGGCATAAGTTTTACTGAGGGCTTACTATGCTGCAGGCAAGGAGCTAATCCATTCAGAAGTATTACCACATTTAAAAAACACAATTCTATTACACACATTCTCAGAATATAGGGGAAGAAATGAGGCCCGGCAGAGGTTCTGGGTGCAGAGTGACCCTGGTGGGTGGCTCTGGAGTCCACGCTCTGACTGCACAGTGGTAAGCACTCTAACCAGCCTGCTTGGTGGGACCACAGGCCGTTGCAGGCTGAGAGATACTGACCACAAATAATTTCCAGGGTCACTACTCATCTTAAGAGCTTCAAAGCAGCAAACAAACAAACAAAAAACAGCTTCTGATCAGTACTGCCAGGGGGTCCTGCTTATAAAATGAACCTACTTCAGAACCTCAGGGCTGGGCCCTGGGCTAGAATCAATTGTTTTACAGTTTCTAAGACCACTGTTCTCAAAAGTTCCCACTATTGTGAAAAGAAACAGCAGATCTAGAACAGAAATCACCATAGTTGCTAAGAATATTTAACCTGGACTAAATATATCAACCACATTTAAATTTTTAAGATATCCAAGTCGTATAGTACACCCCCAAGTAAGTTTTAAAGCAATTATCTCTCTGATATGAGCACATACACACTACTGAGTACTTATTAAATATCAGACATTTTAAAAACATGATCTTCCTCGATCCTGAAATCTATGCGGTAGGAGTTACTACCTGTAGCAGAGATGAAGAAACTGAGAATTAGTGGTCTTTAAAAATTAGCCTACATGGATGTGT